GGGGGGGGGAGGGCAGTGGGGAGGGCCGTGACTGCCGCCATCTCCATGGCGGGGGCTCCAAGATGGCGGCGGGCGGGGACTGGGCTCTAACCGGGATTGTCCCCGCAGCTGGCAAAGGACTTGCTGCACCCTTCCCCGGAGGAAGAGAAGAGGAAACACAAGAAGAAGCGGCTGGTGCAGAGCCCCAACTCCTACTTCATGGACGTCAAGTGCCCGGGTAGGGCGGCGGGCCGAGGGGCGGGGGCGGGCAACGTGTCCCGGTGCGTCGCCCCCGGGCCCCTCTCAGAGCTCTCCCTTTCCGGGCAGGTTGTTACAAGATCACTACGGTGTTTAGCCACGCTCAGACAGTGGTTTTGTGCGTGGGCTGCTCGACCGTGCTGTGCCAACCCACGGGGGGCAAGGCGAGGCTGACAGAAGGTGGGTAGCAGGCCCGGGGATGGGGGGGGGGTGCATTTTGACACCCACACACACACCCCAGCTTCCTCGGGGAGCTGCCGGGGAGGGGTCTTGAGGAGGCTTGCGGACGCGCGAATTTTCTGGGCTGGAAGATTGTAAAAGCCACTTGGTTATGGACGCTTTCAGAACTGGGGTGGTGTTTTAAGGCAAAAACTGCTGAATTTGGGCTGGTGAGACAAAGAGATTCCCGTACGGAAGGGATTTCATTTAAAGAGGCTGTGGTGTTTCTGACTGTGTGTGGGGTTTTTTGTGTTTTCTAATTTTTTTACCTCCCTCAGGCTGCTCTTTCAGACGAAAGCAGCATTAAGCGAAGGGTGCGGGGGTATGGATGTGACAACTCGCCCAGAGCGTGAGCAGGGGCTGCTGCCGCAGAACCCCGTCGCCAGGCCTGACCCAAGTGTGCTGGCAGGTGTGCGTCCGTGGAATGCCGGCCACGAATGTGACATTCGTATTGTTGCTACAGCCCCGCCCATCTCGCTGTCAATAAATTTTGGATAAAATACATACAAATCAGTTTGCTTTTAACGCTCTGATTCTTTGCTGCGAGAGAAGGGTGGTTTGGCAGCAGTTCTGAAGCAGATTTTTGTCTCCCCTGGGTGGTTAAATGATGGAAATCAATAGCTATTAATCTTTGCGACAAATGAAACGTTTCCTTTTATTCAGGCCAGAAACAAAACCACCCCCATGTGCAGCATAGGATCTCTCACTGCCGTATGGTTGCGTTTTCCATGCATAGGGATTTACTTCCCTACACTCCAGAGCCCCAGCTGAGTCCTGTTTAACGCTGGGAACCTGCAGGAGGGTGGGAATATCCTGCAAGGAGGGAAATGCAGGGAGGCTGCTCTGAATATCTGAGTATTTCTGGATAGTAACTAGTGATACCAGAGTTGGAAGCAGGTTTCTTTTCCTCATAGCAGAGGTGTTCCATGGGGAAACCTCTTAAGCTCACTCATCAGAGCTGTTGCTGCTCTTTGGCCTGGGAGAGTGCAGGAAATACTGATGAAACACTAAAAAACCTGGGGATTTAACGTGAAAAATGGGAATACCTCTGATTCTGTACTGCTGGATGTACATTGATTTGCTTGATATGGCTGAGGGATAGGATGGCATCGAGAGGGACCCAAATAGGCTAGAGGAGTGGGCTGGTGTGAAGCTCCTGAGGGTCATATGCCTGGGCAGGGGGGGCAGTTCCCAGTACCATCACAGACTGCGGGATGGATGGGTTGGGGGCAGCCCTGCAGAAAAGGACGTGGGGGTACGGGTGGGTGACAAACGGGACCTGAGCGGGCAATGTGTGCTGGCAGCCCAGCAAGCGAACTGTCTCCTGGGCTGTATCACCAGTAGCAGGTCGAGGGAGGGGATTCTGCTCCGCTCTGGTGAGACCCCCCCTGGAGCTCTGCGCCCCCCTCGGGGGTCCTCAGCGCAGGAAAGACACAGAGCTGTTGGAGCGGGTCCGGAGGGAGGACACAAAAATGATGCGAGGGCTGGAACACCTCTGCTATGTAGAGAGGCTGAGAAAGTTGGGAGAAGAGAAGGCGCCGGGGAGACCTCACTGTGGCCTTTCAATATAGAAAGGGGCTTATAAGAAAGATGGAGAGACTTTTTACAAGGGCCTGTAGTGACAGGACAAGGGACAGCTGTTTTAAACTGGAAGAGGGTAGGTTTAAATCGGATATAAGGAAGAATTTTTTTATGGCAAGGGTGGTGAGGCACCAGCACGGGGTGCCCAGAGAGGTGGTCAGTGCCCCTTCACTGGAGACATTCGAGGTCTGGTTGGATGGGATCGACTGGGAGATGTCCCTGCTCATGGCGGGGGGGTGTGTGTGTGTGTGTGTCAGACTAGGGGGTCTTTAAAGGTCCCCTCCAACCCAAACCATCCTGTGATGTCACGGACAGACGGTTGGCTGGCTGGCTGGACAGAGTGTCTGGGGGTGGGTGGCTCTAGGGAAGGACAGACACCAACTCTGAAAAGGGATGGACAGCTGGGCTCCCCCAGGGACCCCAATGCCCCCTCCCCAGGATCCCTCAGGGAGCCTGAGCTGCTGGAGGGGAAACTGAGGCACGAGGGTGGGGGGAAATGGGGTGACCCTGCATCCAGCTGGTGCCCATGGCGGGGCTCAAGGGAGGAGAGGGGCAGAAAGAGTGCAGAATGGGGGGGTGGTACAAAACAGGGGTTAAAAATGGGAGTGCAAAAGGAGGGGCAAGAAGAGGGGAGGCTGCAAAAATGGGGGGGGTAAAACCAGGGGGTGCCAAAAGAGGGGTGCAGCCATAAGACCAGGATGCCCCCTGCCTAGCCCCCCCCTGCATCTCAGTTTCCCCACTTGCAATCTCAGGGGCCATGGGGACACCCTGGGATCATGGCAATATGGGGGACACATTGCCCCTGTCGCCGGACACCTGGGTCCCCTTCCTGGCCCTACAGTTAAGAGGGGTGTGTGTCAGTGCTGGGGGGGGCTGCCCCAGACACCAGGGTCCCTGTGGTGACCAGGCTGCACCCTGATACACAAACACACAGTGTCACACCCGGCCCAACACCACAAACACCCCAACACCCGGCCCCACACCCTGACACACCCCAGGGCCTGGTGGTAGTGGTGGGGCGGAATGGGGCCTTGTGGGAAAACTGAGGCACGGGGGACCTTGCACACAATGGGGATGCGGAGGCTCAGGAGACCTGCCCGCCCACCCTCCCCCAATGGGGACACTGAGGCACTCGGCGGGGACACTACAGCACCTTTATTGCCCCCCCCTCGCCCTGGGGAGGGGGTCACTCATCGTGGCCGAGGGGTGGCGGGGCCACGGCAGCCCCCAGGGTCACCCGGGCAAGGTACTTGGTGTTGAAGCAGTGGCGCTGCTCAGGGTGCCCCTGTGAGCAGCAGCCCTGGGGGTCACGCCAAGTGTCCCGCGGGGTGGCACAGAGGGTGGTGATGCCCTGGGACAGCTGTGGACACATGGGGGGGGGTGTCAGAGTGGCTGTGGGGTCCCCCAGAGCCCCCTGACCCCTCCCCTCCCGCCCACTTACCTGCTCATCAGCGCAGGCGCTTTGCTCCTCGGGGGGCAGCAGGCAGCACCCGGATGTCACGGCCCGCAGCAGCTCCGGCACCGGCCGCCTGCAGGACATGGACACAGGGGTCATCTCATGGATTGGGGGGGGGCTCAGGGTGGGGGCCCATATGCCTGGGTCCCCTCTGAGATGGGGGGGTCCCAATTGCCTGGGTCCCCTCCCTGATTTGGGGGGTCCTGGACGCCTGGGTCCCCTCTGAGATGGGGGAGTGGGGAGCAGACATGACTCCTGGGTCCATCCCAGTCTCCCCCCCACCATTCCACCCACAGCCGCACCCCCATAGATCCCTCCCGGGGGGGGCACCTGGACACTGGGGTACCTTGGATTGGGGAGGGGTGGCACCCACCTCTTGGTGAGCAGGCGGGTGGGCCCACAGAGGGAGCGGAGCAGCGCAGGGCCCGGCTGGGCCAGGCTGATGTTGTGCAGCTCCCGGTCGTAGGCTGGGTGCGGGGCAGCAGCTGCGAAGCAGCGGACCCGGGCATGGCCCCCCCCGCGCTGGCAGCAGCGGTGCTGCCTCGTCTTCACCGCCGCCTCCTCCCGGCAGAACCGCTCCAGGCCCTTCCGCCACTGTGGGGGTGTGGGGGGGTGGCATCAGTGGGGGCACCTAGACACCTGGGTCGCTTCCCTGGATGCCTAGGTCCCTCCTGGACACCTGGGTTCCCCCCACCCTGCCCCAAACACCTGGGTGACACCCCACATGCCTGGGTCCCTCCCAAACACCTGGGTGACACCCCACATGCCTGGGTCCCTCCCAAACACCTGGGTCCCCTCCCCAAATGCTTAGGTCCCCCCCCCCCGACACCTGGGTCCCCTTCCCCAGATGCCTGGGTCTCCCCTGGACACCTGGGTGATTCCCTGGACTCCTGGGTGCCTCCCAAACACCTGGGTCCTCTTCCCAAATCCCTGGGTCCCTCCTTGCCCCGCTGTGTCCACCCCTGCCCTGGCACTCACGGCATCATGGGCGCAGGTGAGGCTCCCGTTGCGGCAGCAGCGGCTGTACTCGCGCTCCAGGCGCAGGCGCAGGCGGACGCGGGGGCCAGAAGGGCCAGAGGGGCCGGGGGGGCCGGGGCGCAGTCCCCGCAACCCACAGATGTTGCCCATGTTGGCGGCGGTGGGCTCGCCAGGGGGAAAGGGCGGCTCGGCAACCGGGTCCCAGACGGTGACAACAGCGCTGGCGGCAATGGCATCGGAGCCCTGGGCGAAGCAGCGGCGGCGTGCCGCGCCTTGCTGCCGGCAGCAATGGTACTGGCGCGTTTTCACCCCAAATTCATCGGTGCAGAATCTGTCCAGCACATCCGTCCACTGCGAGACAGCAGTGTCAGACCCCCCCCACGCACACACTCTGGGTGTCCCCCCCCCCTCCAAGCCCGGGGACTCACGGCGCGGCGGGCGCAGGGCAGTGGGGTGTGGTGGTGGCAGCAGGCGTCGAGGCGGGGCCGGAAGGCGTCGAGCGCGGCAGCCTGCCGGTGCAGGTGGGCGAAGGCGGTGGAGGGCAGCTGGAGGGTCGGGGGGGGCCGGGGGGGCTGGCTGCAGTGACGGGTGATGGCAGCGGCCACAGGCCAGGCGGGGGGGAAGCCGTCCAGGGTGTTGGGCCAGGCGGGGGGGTGGCGCAGGGGGGACGTGGTGCCCATCGCCAGGATGTCGGGGGGCAGCACGGGGTCCTGTTCCTCCTGCAGCACTGAAAGGGGGTGTGGGGAGGAGGTGGGGGGGTGTCCCCACTGCCCTGGCCCCAGGTGACACTTGTCCCTATGTGCCCCCCCATCCCAAGTAGTTCCCTGTCCCTGTGTCCATGCCCCCCTCCGCCTCCATCACAGTGCCCCCCCGTCCCCAACCCCTGCTGTCCCCATGTT